AGATGTTCCGTCCTCCAGTTTTCATGCCTCCTTCCTCCAAGTCTAAACCTGCTGTATCCTAACATATGATTTCTTCAGTGCACAAGATAAACCAATAAGGTGATAAAATCTGAAACAGGAATCAGCCTTCCAGATGTTGTTGGATTGCAAGTCCCAGTATCCTTTCCGCTGGTTAGGGCTGCTAGGATTTGCAACTGAATAGCATCCAGAGAATGACAGAATCTCCATCGCTGCTATAGATTATCAGTAACAATACACCAACTTTAACACCTGACATGTTCTGAAATCAAAATATATTTTGTGTCCAACAGAGCCAGCCAAAAGTATATGACATCATCACAACTTGGCAAAGATACACTGCAGTGTTTGTGTTAGTTAACATTTTTTAGTTAACATGTCTTGGAAACGTGAGAGGAAGTGATCCTGATTTTATTCCTACCAGATTGGATAGTTTGGGTTTGTTTGGAAATGCTCTTTCTGGGGAAATTATGTTGTTGTTGTTGTTGTTGTGTGCCTTCAAGTTGTTTCCGACTCATGGGGACCCTAAGGCAACCCTGTCACAGGGTTTTCTTGGCCAGATTTATTCAGCCCTCCTCTGAAGCTGAGAGAGTGGGACTTTCCCGAGGTCACCCAGTGGGTTTCCGTGGGTGAGCAAGGATTTGAACTCTGGTCTCCAGAGTTGCAGACCAATGCTCAAACCAATACACCACACTGGCTCTCTTACACCATGCTGTTTCTTGGGTATTCCATGCATATGAACCTGTTGAGCATAATGCAGCAGCCTCCAGTGGTCAGGGATGATGGGAGTCTCACAGTCTCTGGGTGGCCTTATAAAGGGGACATTTCGAATTGATGAGGTGACTATTAAAAGCAGCAGAAATAGGGATAGGAGTTATATGGGATTCCTTCTTTAAAGGAATGGCTTCGCAAGGTATGGGATGTAGCAGTGGTGGGGAATTGAAGGCCACCCAGACACGGCTAGACTACAACTTCCATCATCCCTGACCACTGGAGGTTCGGCATCCCTGCTTTTCCCCATCACCTGTACGGTTACTAGCCAAGATGTTCTTGTTGTGATGTGCCTTGAAATCATTTTTGACTTATGGATACCCTAAGGCAAACCTATCATGGAGTTTTCTTGGCAAGATTTGCACAGAAGCCCAAATCCTATTCTTGATCCCAATGAGAATAGTTAAATCAATCGGCCTTCCCCGAGGTTGAGAGAGTGTGGCTTGCCCAAGAGCAACCAGTCAGTTTCCACAGCCAAGCTAGGATTCGAACCCTGGTCTCCAGAGTCCTAATCCAAGGCTCAAACCACTACGCCACGCTGTAGTATGTAATGTGCACACATATGAATAATTTCTACATAACAACCAATGTTTTGAAAATTAGAGGCATAACTTAGCAGAATGGGATGGGGGTACTTTTAAAAGAACCCTGGAATAATACCAATATTCTATAATTGCATTTCTTTCTTTTTGAAGGAAAAAAACAAACCCTGCTGTTCTCCATATGGAAATATTTGTATGCAACCATTTCCTGCTGAAATATCATCAGGAACCGGGCTAGAGATTGGTGACGCTCCAATGCAGATCCCATTCATTTCAATGGGGGCTTGTCCAAAAATGCTCCCAGATAGATTCCACCTTTACTCTTTGAGGGCAGCTGTCCAGAACTCGGCACCTTCAAGGTGTGCTAGACTACAACTCCCATCCCACTGGGCCATGTTGGTTGGGGATGATGAGAATTGCAGTCAGCAGGAAGCACCAAGTTGGGGATGGCTGATAAATCCTTCTACAGCCAGCCCTCTGTATCCATGGATTCTGTATCCACAGCTTGAAAATATTCAAAGAAAAGAAAATTCTCAAAAGCAAACCTTGATTTTGCCATCATATATATGGGACACCACTTCATTACTCCACTTTGTATAATGGGGCTCGAGCATCTGAGTTTCATTGATTTGGGGGGAGATATTTATTGATTTTTATTGAATATCCGATTTTTATTGATGCGGGGGCAGTGGGGTGGAGAACAAAAAAAATTCCATTGATCTTCCCAGTAGAAATGCATCACTATTGATTCCAATTGAACCTATTGGATATCTATTGATCTGGTTTCGGAGACACTCTTCTGTACTAAAGTAGCCGGATTCCTCCTAACCCCCCCTTCCCCTAAAAGTAGGGTTAATATATCAATTTTGAGAGGAGAATATAGATCCAGAATATAATATTTCATTGGGGAAATGGTCAAACACTGATTTGATCAAAAATCAAAGGCCCTCGAAGCAGTACTTGGAAACTCAGAACACACAACGCAACCACAACCATGTCTAACCGGATTTGACCCCCTAATAAATTCTGCTGCCCCCCAACCCTAATTCTGATTCTCATCCAAAATGGGTAGAAAAGGAACATTTTGTCTCATGCCCTGCGCAGAGAAAATGCAAAGACAAATTCGCTTTCCCTTCTAGCCGCAAGGAGAAGGAGGAATAATTTAAAAGTTGCCTGCAGGAATCCCCTGGCTAAAGTCTAGGGCTGCCTTTCTGCTCATGTTGGCAAAGAGCAATCTGTCATTTCCAATACCAGCAAGAGCCCTTGGAAGGCGGAAAGCAAAATCAATGCAAAAGGCCCCCAGGGCATGTGCAGAGTGCTTTTTCCTCCTTGCCACAACCAAGTTACTACAAAGAGGAAAGTGACTACCAAGTGAGTCAAAGGTGGAGAAGCTTTGAGATTAGGAAAATGTGAGCCCCCCCCCCCAAACCTCTTTGGTCCAGAAATGGATAAAGGGAAAAGAGCAAGCCTGGCAAAATATCTCAGATGCAGCCTCTTTTAAACCCTTGGAAGAAATGCCAACCTGCGTCTGCTTCTTGCCAGATCTTGGGTGCCAACAATGTGCCAGGCGCTGTGCAATATTTAGGTAAAGTGCAGCCTCTAGTCTAGAGACGATCCTTTCCTGACACTTTAAAAAGATGCCCCTGGTTCTTACCCACCTCTTACATGGTTTAAAAGAGGGAGGGCTTGGAAAAGTTACTTTTAGGGGCTCTAGGTCCCAAGCAGGTACATGAACACACATGCGCACCAAGCCATAAAACCCTTAAAAGTAGTTGAAAGAAAGTAACATTTTTTTTTTAAAAAAGAAGAAACTAAACAAACCATACATACAACTGAAAATGATGAGCAGAGGAGTGTTGATATCATGGTCCCCAAAAAGTAACTTTTTTCAAGTGGTGGAAATAGGGTTCCTGGCCTCTTTGACAGTCCCATTGGAATATGATGGAATACTTAATGGTGCCTTTCAAGAGGCCACTTGGGACTGGGAAGTGTGAGTAAAACTCACAGGATCCCTCAGGGGGATGCTGGGAGTCGTAGTGGCCCCAAGGTTACGCTTCTCAGCATTGATAGTAGGTGAAGATTAGTATATAGGTTGGGCTGGGGGATGCTGGGCGTTGTAATGCCCCCAAAGTCACACTCCTCAGCAATTATAGTAAATTAGGATTAGGATCTGGGCTGGGCAATGATGGGTGTTGCAATGCCCCCAAAGTCACACTCTGCAGCACTGACAGTAAGTAAAGATTAGGATCTGGGCTGGGGGATGATGGGAGTTGTAGTGTCTCCAAAGTCACTCTTCCTCGCTTTAACAGTAAGTGAAGATTAGGCTATGGGCTGGCCTGGGGATACTGGGTGTTGTAATGCCCCAAATTCACACTTTTCAGCACTGGTAGTAAATGAAAGTTAGGCTATGGGCTTGTTTGGGGATGCTGGGAGTTGCAATGCTCCAAACTCACACTTCTCAGCACTGGTAGTAAATGAAGGTTAGGCAATTGGCTGGGCTGGGGATGCTGGGAGTTGTAGTCCCCCATAGCCATACTTGGCAGCTCGGATCTATGGCAAGAAGGGAACTTTCTCTCTCTCTCCCTCTGTTGTGAAGCCTATTACTGTATTCTTTTGCCGGGGAGAAAGCGGGCAGCAGGCGAGGGAAGCCTGGCCCAAACTCACCTTGGCCAGGAGCGAAGCGGAGAGGGAGAGCCCCAGCCACAGCGCCAGGACTGCATCTCCCATCGTGCCTCTTGGAGGGAGCCAGGAGCCTTTCCCCCTTCCTCTTTCAGAATCACAAAAATGTCAGATTCAGTCCAAGACAGCCAGGAGCCTCCTTCCCGAAGCAAAGCAAGGCAACCACGACTCTCAAGTTCAGGCAGAAGGAGGAGGAGGAGGAGGAGGA